AAGCAATATGCTGCCAAAAGATTCAGGCTAGGGGCCAATATGTAGGTTGGTCTCTAAAGTTCTCACATGAATTACTAGGAAAAAGGCAGAGTTGAACACATTTTTGCATCATTAATAAAATGTTGTAAGCTTACAGAGTTAATTCTTTATTTTTTATGAAACCATCCATGTTACTCTATTAAAGTTACCAAAGGGAACGTAAATATAGAATAAGCTGAAAAAAACTGTTACTAGCCTTTCCATAACTATTAATCGAGATGCCTTGCTCATGTCCATTCTATGCTAGGGATCTGGTGTGCTCTATCGCTGGAGATTTTTTCCCTCAGTGGTATCCACAGGACCAGCTCTGGCAGCTGCTGGTGCCCCACACCAATACGCTGATATTATGGGCACTGCCAACCCCAAATCCCCCTCAGCTCCTTCTTGCCAATGAACTCCAATAGAAGGGCAGGCAGGTAGGTCATGAAATTGACAGTAACAGCACACCTTGAACAACAGTTAGAGAAAGGTTAGTAACCAATTTATTTTCTTTAAAAACAAGGAGTCCTGTGGCACCTTAGAGATTTATTGAGGGTTAAGCTTTCGTACGTAAAGTCCACTTCAGATGAAATTGGAGTGAAAATTAGAGGCAGGTAGGTGTGTGCGCGCACATGAACGTGTGCATGTAACAAAAGGAAGGAGATATTTATCAAGCGTAGGACCTCAAAGGAGGAACCATGAGTCTTGACAGGTCCCACAGTAGAATCAGTTGGGGAATTTGAGGGTGAAGACTTTTTAACATCTTAAGAAAGGAAATGGACATCTCATGCAAGAAGACTGACTTGTTGCTCACAAGAAAGTAAAAGGCTGAGATAGCCACTAGGTGTATCTTGATAGATGCTAACTCTTGTTTCAGATGGAGCAGGTATTCAAGCACAGATTCAGGAAGGACCAAGACTGAAAAAGATCTCATTGGGAAGACCAAACGGAGAAATATTTGCATTTGGCCAAGTCAGTAGCTTGGGTAGAAGGCTTCCTAACACCTAACAAGACCTGGTGGACTTGCTCTGAACTGGCTGGCTCCTCCCATGTTCAACCATGGATCTTCCATGAAGTCACATGAACTGCCCCAAAGTTCAGATAGAAAAAATACTAGTAGTCTTATGAGCTCAGAACCAGTCAGAATGGAGGAAGCAGTGGGAATATTACTGACAAATCTAGTATTGTGCCAAACCAGTATTGGTGTGGCTATGCAGGAGCCTTTGCTTTGTCCCGTTCGTCTTTCAGAATGACCTTGTGCACCAGAAGAAACAGGAAAACTGCACAGAATAGGACCTCTATCCAAGCAAACAGGAAGGCATCTAAAATAGAACCTGAGCTGAAACCATGTAGTGAGCAAAACTGCTGACATTTCTTATTCTTCCTGGTTGTGAAAAAGCCTATGTAGGGAGACCCTGCAGCTCTGGATGATGTATCTGGTAACCTATGAATGAAGGGACCACTCATGACGAGAAAAGAAACATCTGCTGAGTTGATCTGAGAAGGCGTTCTGGGCTCCTTGAAGATGGGAAGACAAGAGGTGAATGGAATGCTTTGCATAAAAGTTTCACACGCAGATGGCCTTGTGTCAAAGGGTAGAGAAACACACTCCTTATTGGGGATGTGAAGGACTAGTTGTTTCTCCCACCCACTTGCTCCCTCAGCTAGGGAGCAAGCGAGGTGGAAGGGGGGTACTTCAAAGCGGCAGTGCTACATGTAGCCTGGAGTCAGCTGCTCTGTGCAGCTCTGCCACTTTGAATGCCGCATAGAGCCAGGGATCAGTTGGGGACTCCTGGCACTGCTGCTTCGAAATGCCATGAGGAGTCCACAGCTGAACCCGGGCTCCATGCAGGGCTGCCTGCTTTAAAACATCACCACGGTGTTTCAAAGCGGCAGTGCCGCACAGAGCCCCAGGTCAGCAGGGAAGTCCTCAGTTAACCATGGGTTTTGGCGCTTTCGCCTTTGAAATGAAGCAACAGACCTAGGGCTGTTACTACACTTCAAAGACAGAGGCGCCCTATTAACTAATCAAATAGTCGATGCAAGAATGCATCGACTATTCGATTAGTCAATTACCTGATACTTAACATCCTTACTCCTTATCTGTTAGGGCTAACGTGGCAGCTGTGTTTTACACCAAGTACTCAAACTACTTTGCCTCTGACCTGAGGAAGAAGCCCTTGACAAGCTAAGTGGACCTCTCTGATCTCCCAAACATTTATGTGCAGGGAGAGCTCTTCCTGGGAAAACAGGCCGGCATCCTGAAGTATCTGAGATGTGCTCCCCAATCTAGATTATAGGTGCCCAAAATTATGGATTGTAAAAGTTGAGGGATGAGAAATGGAATGCCTGCAGCTACCAAACAGGGATCCCTCTACCAGTCCTAAAGAAGGACCAATCAGCACTTATTCCAGGTGGCATCTGTTCAATGAGTCCATACAGGCCAGCCATGACTGCAGGGATGTGAGACACAGTGGATGCAGCCATGTGCTCGAAAAGCTTGAGGCAAAACTGGGTAGTTGTGATGAGGTGGACCTTGACCTGGATATAAGATCCAATATCATCTGGAAATGGCCTCTGAAAGGAAAGCTGTGGCCTAGGCTAAATCTAGCATTGCTCCGATAAAATCTATTTCTGTGCTAAAATGAAAGTCAAGAGACTGCAGGCAAACCAAAGGGGAAGATGGTCAACTGGTAATAAGCATAGTTTACAATAAACCTGAGGAACCTTCTGTGTTCTCAGAAGATGGAAATGTGGAAATATGGATCTTCAAGTCAAGGGTCATGTAACAGTCTCCTGGATCCAGGGAGGAAATGATGGAGGTCAAGAAGACTATATGGAGCTGCAGTTTCTTAAGAACTCTTGAGGCAGAGGCAGATGCAGATTCAGGATTCTTTGAAGGCCTTGTGCTGGAAGGGGGAATTGCACTAGGGTTTGGTGGGATGTAGGCTAGGGAGTGGTGGCAGCTATTGGGTTGGGTGTGCTCCACCTCAGACCCCAAAGAAGAGTCCTCCTGAGAAGACCATAGGGAAGTAATATCCCTTGCTTCCATCTATCAGTACAAAGGGTCCAGTGACCAGTGCTGTGTCATCGAAGACCTCACGGGTAATAGCAGAACCAATTTGTCTCTGGCCAGTACGTAGGGTCCTGATGCCAGGTAAGAGCTGGGGAGAGGATACCTGGTAGAAGAGGCAGGGTGGATGTGAAGTCCCAGGAGCACAGCCCTATGGGAGTGCACCGAGCCCCATGGCAGCCAAGCTGCACTCCCGGCCCCTGCCACCAGCTGTGAGGTTTTGCTTCTGGCCACGGGACTGTGCAACCTCCCTGCCTCTTCCCATGAGTGTCCCCCGCCCCTGTGCAGTCAATGGCAACAGAGGAGCCAACATTGACCTCCCCTGGTCCGGCAAATTCACTGGTTTGGGACCAGACAGGTCCTAAGGGCACTGGACCAAGTATACCCTACTGCAAAAGGATGGAAACTCTTCAGTCCAAAGGTGTAATCGTGACTTCACTAAATTAAATGGGAGTTCGTTCTGCCACTGTCTTCATGGGGTCAGGATCTCACACCTAATTTACAACATCAAGTTCTACCTCCTGTTTGAGAGTAAAATTAAAGAGCAAATCCATAGACAGTAATGATTGAAAAGTTATGGAGATGATGAAATAGTATTATTTTTTGTATTACATTTTTTCAGCTGTCTATTGATCATAACAGTTTTTCTTTGAAATAAAAACTTCATGCAAAAGTTCTAAAATACTTACTTATCCATCAGACCAGACTGCTCCAAACACCTCAAGTAAACTGTATTTGAATAATTTATTCGTTAAATGAATGCGGCATATTCTGTTTTTATTTGAGTAAATAGGCACAAACAATTTGACGAATGAATGGAAAAGTTTTTTCTCCCTGAAAATACCAATAGGGCTACCATGATGAGCTTACACAATAGATTACCTTATGCTAAATTTAATTTCAATATCATTCAGATTAATGATCCTGCTGAGCTCCTCACTTCAACAGTCCCTAACTGACTGTTCAGTTGGGAAATAACATGATATTTTTAACAAAGAGATAAAAACAGTGTTCAATCCAACAGTCCCACTCCGAATAAAATCCGTTTGAATGTATGAGATTGGGTATCAACTGCTATCCATACAGTCATTCTTATTACCCTCAAATCAATCATTATGAGCCTGATCCTGCAAGTAGTCAATGGTTGAAATTTCTGACTGATTTTACTAGGAGTTCCCCAGCATTGTAGGATCAGGCTCTGGACTGTCATATAGTAAAGTTGCATTTTGAGTTACCCAAAATATGAAATGAGACTACATAGAACTAAATACTACCATACTGGTTTTGAAAAATATGTCTAAGAGGTTTTTCCAGACTACTGTGTGTTTATAGGCAGATATGCATTGCATGGGTAAAGCTGAATTGAGTTTTGTACTTAGGGGCAATTCAACTGTGTGCATGGCAAAACACAGTATATACCCTTTCGAGTTACAATATTAGCTCTTTAAACGCACAATGAATTTTCTGAGAGCTTACAAGCAACCGGATTTATGTTAAAATTAATATAAAATGGTCCTTAAAAATACAGCACGCTGTGTTAAACTTTTTTGTTCCAAATGATCTTCACAGTGGAATAACACAGACTTTTTAAACTTCCCATGAATTAAAATGCACTAAAATCTCAGTGCATTTGGTAATATTTAAAACATTTTTTTAAGATTAATGGTCATTTTTGCCATTATTCTTTACACAAAAAGTGGGTTCAGACATCCCATTTTAAAAACAATACATGCTGTATTCTGCATCTGATGCGACAAGCATAATGAAGTACACATTATGCATGATGAATTAAACACACTTTTTTCTAGAGGACATTTATTGTTGCCAATTTAAAAATAATACTAAATAGTTTAAACAGACAGGACCCTGGCTTCCATTCAAGAAAAGCAATAAGATGTTAAAAAAATACCTCAACAGAGCTGCCTTTTTCAGACAAAGAGCCTTTTTCCCCCCTCTGGCACAGAAGTTTGGGAACAGAGCCAAAGTGCTTACTTATCAGCTGTTTGACATCAGGGGAGAACTGTGTGCGTCAGTAGGCCCAGTAGGGACCCCTAGCTTATGGCAATAGACCATGTGGTTCTTATCTTATCAGTTTGTAGGGTCTGGCACTTCAACCCCTTGCAGTGTGAACAGGAAAAAAAATAAATAAAAGCAGGAAGGTGTGTATAACTAGGAGGGAGGAGGTGAAAGACACTAGTGACCCAGGTTATAATGTGTTACTGCCAGTGGCCCAATTCTTTCAGGGCCTTAATCTGTTATACAGTGCTGGGGAGAGGACATAAGATTCCCTCCCCTTCCCACCACCCCCCACAACCCCTACATAAAGGTCAGGCCAAACAGAAATGCCTGTGTTCTCTGTACAGAGACTGCTCCTTCCCTGTGTGCCAGGGAGCAAGCAGGACAATGTCTCTGCACCCTCATATATACCAACTAGTAGAATTTGCTACTTGGACAAGAGGGAAAGTAAGCTGCACCCCATAATCAAGTGTTACAGAGCAAGCACTGTCTCTCCTTCTTCATGCTCCAAAGCTTTCTGTGGCAGTACAGCACCACATGACCCTTACTAAGGGCTGGAGTCTAAATGGCACAGCATAGTCCTTAACACAGCTTCAATAGGACTTATTACTAAAAAATATTACTTTGGGGGCCATACTATGCCACGAGTTTTAAGCATAACTCACCATGCATACGACCCAGTTACACAAAATGACCATTTGTTTTTAATAAATAGAAAAACATTCACCCAGAAAAACAACCATAAAGTATAAAAAGCTTCCTTTTCAACAGTGCTATGCTTACTGAAAAATTAATAGCTTACACACACTCAGAAAAATATAAATCTCTCTCTCACTGCAAATATTATTCAAGCTTCACTGAGAAGCTAGTTAAAATATCTGTGGCACTAGCAGTTGTATGTCCTTGACTAATTATAATTCGGTTCAGATTTTTCCCTCCAAAGATTTGTTACCTTACACTACAGCAAACCAGACTAACAATAACAGCAGTACATACTACAGTGGAATTGCATAACATGTTAGCAGCTGCAGAGAAACCTTATTTATTAAAGAGTGTAAGGCGTTTTCTAGAACTTTTATCCCCTCTTGCCAAAGTCAGAATTAGCAATGGGCAGCTTATGATGGACCTCTGATTAATAAAGATTTTTTGCTTTGTTATTGCAAATATTTTATATAAGTAATTTAACTAGGAATTTTTGTTGCACATAGCCATCCTTTACTCAAAATAGAATTTAAGTTTTGTCCACCATGTTAAGGCATCTCTCTCAACCATAATAACCCCATGTAATGGGTGATCTAACATGAAGCTCTCTAGTCTGGCAGTCTCTGGTCCGGTAATGACTATGATCTGGAATGATTTAAGTGAGCTGGATGTCCACTTATCATAGGTGTGGCCAAATTTCCCATGGTCCCATAAAGTTTTACAGCCACCAGTCCTGGCTCTCAGTGTTCTAATTTACCCCAAATGTCTTCTAAGAGACAATAAGCAGTGGAAGTGTGGGAATTTTGCTAGATTATACTGACCTCCCATGGTTTATCAAATTCTCTGGTTCAGTACCAGTCAGGTCCTGAGGGTGCTGGACTAGAAAGGTTCAACCTGGACTATTTATCTGAAGAGGCAATATACTTTTATGGCCAAAATATAATACAAATAATCAATTAAACAAAACCATGCCTGAAACAAAGGTTACTCACCTTGTGCAGTAACTGGAGTTCTTCGAGATGGTGTCCCCCTCTTGGTCTTGGTGCCGTCCTAGCACCTGGATCAGATATTTCCCAGCAATCCCTGCCGGGCAGCACATGCATGGCGCAAACCAGTGCATGCCAAGCTAGTTGGCACCGTGCATGCACGGCCCGCACCCTCCAGTTCCTTCTCCACCCCAGAGGCCCGAGGTCCGAAGCAGAGGAGAGGAGGAAGGGTCATGGAGCATCCACAGGGACACCATCTCGAAGAATTCCAGTTACTGCACAAGGAGAGTAACCTTAATTTTTTCTTCAAGAGGTCCCCGTGGATGCGCCACACAATTAACAAGCAGTTTCACCCCTTGGTGGCTGGAGCTTCAGAATATTACGGTAGGCAGATGACAGTACTGCTAAGCCCACTGCAGTATCGACCGTGTAGGAAAGTGCATAGTGCTTGGAAAAGGTAAGATGCAATGCCCAAGTGGCTGCCCTGCAAATGTCTGTTAATGGCATGCTGGGTAAGTACGCTATGGAAGCAGATACAGCCCTGGTAAGAGTGAGCTATGAAGCACAATGGTGGCTGTCGACCCTGGAGAATGTAAGCGGTTCTTATGCAGTCCGTAATCCATTTCAACAACCTGTTTTGATATGGGGTGTCCCTTCACTTGCTTGGCAAAGGCGAGGTGTTTGTCTGAAGGGTCTAGTTCTCTCTAGGTAAAAGGACAATGCATGGCGAACATCAAGGGTGTGCATGGCAGACTCAAAGGAGTTTGCATGAGGCTTTGGAAAGGACGGAAACTTCGTTAGGTATTTTGGATGTGTATGAAGGGTAATCCTATCGTTGTGGAATACTGTAAATACTACTTCCGATTCGGAGACAATTTGTATCTTCAAGTCAGTGACACAGCCATAGGCATCCACATGGCACCACAATATGCCAACAACATTATGGCTGACCTGGAACAACGTTTCCTTAGCTCTCGCCCCCTAACACTCTTACTTTTGCTACATCGATGACATCTTCATCACATGGACCCATGGAAAAGAGACCCTTGAAAAATTTCACAAGGATTTCAACAACTTCCATCCCAACCATCAACTTCAGCCTGGATCAGTCTACACAAGAAATCCACTTCCTTGATACTACAATACAATGAAATGATAGACAAATTTCCCCCATCCTATACCAGAAACTCACCAACCGCTACACTTACCTTCATGCCTCTAGCTTCCATTCCAGATACATTTCTCTCCCTAAGATACAACAGGATTTTCTCCAATCCCACAGGCAGACACAAACACCTACAGGATCTATATACAGGATTCCTAAAACTGAAATACCCACCCAGAGAAGTGAAAAAACATTGACAGAGCCAAAAAAGTACCAGACGTGAACTACTTCAAGACAGACCCAAAAGAGAAAACAACAAAATTCCACTTCTCATTCCCTACGGTCCACAACTTAAACCCCTCCAATGCATTATCCACAATCTACAACCTATCTTGGAAAATGACTTCTCACTCTCAGAGGCCTTGGGTGAAAGGCCTATTCTCGCTTATAGACAACCCCCTAACCTGAAACAAATCCTTTCTGGTAACCATGCTACACAGCTACATCATAAGCATCCAGGAACCAACCTCTGCAATCAACCCCGGTGCCAACACTGTCCACACATCTATACAAGCAATTTCATCACTGAACCCAACCACATCAACCACCAAATCAGAGGCTCATTTAACTGCACATCCAGTAACGTGATCTATGCCATCAAAGCCCCACTGCGATGTATATTGGACAAACTGGACAGTCCCTACGGGAAAGAATTAATGGACGTAAATCAGATATCCGAAAAGGCAACATACAAAAACTTGTTGGGGGACACTTTAACCCTCCTGAACACTCATTAAGGGATCTCCAAGTTGCTGTTTTGGTACAAACCAATTCCATAAGCCAAATACACAGAGAACTGGAACTCCACTTCATTCTCAAGTTTAACTCTCATGCAAATGGCCTAAATTGCAATATTGGATGGTTCCCACATTATCAACCAACCAAACAATGAAGGTGCCAATAGTTCTTTATGTCCATGTAAAATCTGATGTTAGTACTCTTCCTTTCCTAGTGCAAACTAATGGTCCTTATCAGCCTCTTTTACTATTTAGTCTTTAAGGTGCTAATAGACTATTTGTTGTTTTTTAAGTTTTTCCTGTTACAGGCTGGCTCGGCTATCCCTTTGAAATTTATCTACCCAATGTCCTCTTCCTCCCCCCTTCCCATTTTTTCCTGCCTTCCCGCCTCCCCCTCCCTTCCCTTATTTATTCTTGGTTCTGGATTTCCAACATTCCGCTCATCTGAAGAAGTGGGCTGTGCCCACGAAAGCTCATGATATCATCTATATATTTTGTTAGGTCTTTAAAGTGCTACCAGACTATTTGTTGTTTTTTAAGTTTTTCCTGTTACAGACTAACTCAGCTACCCTTCTCTATCTATTGACAGTCTGCCCTATGTTTGGCAGTATCTGCATGTTCAGGATCTAAAAGGACAGAAACCAAGAAGCCATGATGCATTGAGGAACGCTCTGGAAGAGTTTGCAGGTTTGGGAGTTATGCTATCTAATCTTTACAAGATAAGTGGACCCTTAACATCTTTCATCCTAGAACCCCATAAACTCTTGTTTGCAGAGAACCTCACTGAAGTTAGTTCACGTGAATCAAATTACAGCATCATTGCCATGTAATGTTCTGGAAGGAGAGAGGTATAACAGTGGCTCAGTGGTCCCCAATGTGGTGCCCGCGGGTGCCATGGCGCACACCAGGCCATTTCTGTGTGCCCGCCGAGCGATCGGGGCTGGCCTCGCTCCCGGGCGTGCGGCACAAAGGCTGTGCCGGCCCCAGGCATGCCATGTATGGGCGGCGCCGGCCCCGGGAACGCAGCGTATGGGCTGTGCCAGCCCCAGGCGCACAGCGTATGGGCATCCCCACCCCGGGCGCGTGGTACAGGAGCAGCGCCGGCCCCGGGTGCGCGGCGCATGGGTAGTGGCGGCCCTGTCCCCGGGTGCACGGCACATGGGCTGTTCCGACCCCGGGCGTGCAGCGTATGGGTGGCCCCACCCCTGGGCGCGCAGCACAGGAGCGGCCCCACCCCTGGGCGCGGGCGCAACCCCACCCCTGGATGGAGGTGTGGCCCCGCCCCCAGGCACCCGGCAGCCCCAAAAGGTTGAGGACCACTGCAGTGGTTAGTTTATTCTTTGAATTAGGGATTATCTACATCGGAAGGAGTTAATCCACAGCTTTTCAAAGTTAATTAGATTTTACGACAGTTACGTACACACAATCTATCACAGTGTTCTGACTCCACATTTATCACAAGCTCTGAAGTCTTCTTTCAAAATGATCTAACTTTGCTGTGAAGCAAGTTAGTCCAGTATCTGGTTCATGTGCCTACAATGCTGCTCAGTCTCTCAGACTTCAAAGCCAGAAGGAACCTCCATCATCATCTAGTCTATGGGTACGTCTGGACTGCAGAGTTCTTCCGGGATAACGAAAAAGCT